AAAACCTATCTTCACTGATGATTTCAAAGATGCAAAGTAATATAACATAGGTGTTAATGGATTGTGTCTTGGAAAATAAACGTAAATGTGTACAATCCTGTAATGTAGGCTACATTTAATTTGGAGTATTATTTATCTTGGTAGTTATAGCTAGCATGGTAGCCAACCATTCCACAAAACAAAGCAATCTGCTGTTTTTGAATTTTCCAAATTTCTGTTCTGTTCTGATTCAGATTGATATTTGATAATTGCAAATCATTTAAAAAGCTATATTTAATAGAATAATATAACTACAAAGGTGCCTCAAATGTAGTCAAAAAACACCTGAAATTGTCTCTCTGATGGCGAAAGTAAAAGAACCAATCTGGACCACGATGACTGTGTGGTCCTGGTCCAGATTAGCTCAATTGAGAAGGGAAGGCTTTGGGATGACTTTGGAAAGCGATTACAAGATTTATAAATCACCTCAGCGCCGGTGTCACCGTCTGACTCTTTTATGGGATGCCTTGCTAGCTGGCTCCAACAACAAGTTTCCCCTGTAGTTATGCCATCATAACAAATCATTGAAGCAATAGTGGCTGGCCAGCCAGGCTCCTAATTGTCTTTTAAAAATTCTGGGGAGCCTTGCTCTCTTTACTGAAGCTTCTCAGTCTTGGGGAAGTGATAAGAAAGAAGCCAGTTTTGTATAAAAGTACTAATTTGGCATGAGACACAAACACTTTGCTTGGCGGCCAAGATGGCTGCATGGGAGACTGTTATGTCTGAAATCACAGATTTCCTCTCAGTGTCTTTTGGAAGTCTGGAAGCACCCCTCTATGAGGAAATTGATGTGTAAAAAGTGAAAGTCCACTGATCAGAAGATATTCTGTGTCCCTTTTACTGTATTTATGTGAATGGATTGGTGTTCTACAATTTGGCGATTGTTCCTACGGTTTCTCTTCTCTCTCTCTCTCTCTCTCTCTCTCTCTCTCTCTCTCTCTCTCTCTCTCTCTCTCTCTCTCTCTCTCTCTCTCTCTCTCTCTCTCTCTCGCTCATTGAATTTATATTACATTATCAATACTGAAGTAGTGGGGAATTAGGCAAGTCAGGTATGGCTTCTTCCATACAGATGTAGGGTCTGAATTTGATTGCTCTTTTGTTGCTGAGAATTGTCCTGCACAGCAGAAAATGCTAACTTGTTGTGGATTTGAGTTTTAAAAAGGCTTCTAAAGTTTGTAATTTCCACCTTCTGAAGTTTCAGACTTGATTTTCCCTAACATAAAATGTATCAAATATGTCCATTAATTATAATCTACATAATAATTCACATTTCCTGTTGCTGCAGGATTAATTTCCTGCTGTAGCAAACTGGCTGAAATTAAGATCCTGCATTTGTACCTTACATGTACCTGGCTTAGCTTCTTTATCCTACTTGCTGTCACTGTCCACAGTTTTCTCTACTGTTTTGACTTTTTCTACTTTCTACATTCTTCTGTCATCTTGTCATGGTATTGAATATACAATATTTCATTGGAAGAGGTATACTGTGAGAATTTATGATGGGATGAGTTGGGAGCGTTACAAAGACCACTACTGTGTATGATACTTTGAACTTCTATAGTCCTTAAGACTATTTTCAGTACAATTGGAGGTGTTGTCACAGAGGTATTGCTCACCAGGTCAACCAATTTTTAGTTCAATCATATCTTTATTGATTCTGCATCATAAGAAAGTCACCAATAATAAAAAATCTGGGAACCCGTTTGTTAATATTGAAAGAATATGAGATACTGTATATTACTTTTTTATAGAAACATTACCCTATTTTTCTCAATAGTTTATAAAATGCATCTGTATGAAATCTAAAAGAGAATGTCCCCATCATTCTAAAGGCCGGCTTTGATATGAATAGGAAAATCAGAGACCCCCCCCTTCCTCTCATTCACCCTCCCCCTCCTAAAACGTCTCTTAGCTATTATTCTAATGTCCAGCTGCTAGCTTTTTAGGCAGAGGGCATCTGATGGCTGCCTGGTCGCAGCACCGTAAATAGAAAATCCTTTTTTCAAAAACTTGTTTATCAAAATAGTCTCTGAGCAGGGCTTGATTAACTCACTATGAATTAATTTGCATGTTAATGAAAGGTGGTGAAAGGAGTTCTGGTGTTCTTTACCATCATATAACATTTCAATTTGGCTCTCCACTGACAAGGTTTTTATCACTGTCTGCACACAAGCAACCACCATTATTGTAAAGCACACCTTTTTTTATTAAAAACGCTTTACATATTGCTGATTCAAAGCACAAGGAGGATAACAAAACCCATGTTACATGTACCATTATGATCAGTTTGCCATATACACTTAGACATTCATTACAAGGAAATATGAAAGTAAATTGTGATATCTCTTGCCGTTTGCTCTTTATTATACAGAAAAAGAAAACACTTAGCATGTCAAATGAATGTGACGTTTTTTCCTGGGATAAACTATAATCACAGAAGTTACACTGCACATTTAGCCTTTTTTTCTCCTTCCCATAGATCAGAGTGTAATTGCCAGTAATCAGGTCTGTTTGCTGCTGATAAAACCACTCTGAATGCGATGAACCCTCTTTGTGTGATGACTCAATTATGCCAGAAGTGGCTCATCAAACCTGGCCCATCAGCTGCTTTAATAAATAAGGAGGAAAACTTGCTGCAGGCACACTATAATTCCATTCATTCCATAATTAAATCCATTTCAGTTTTAACCCTTCGTTCGTATAGTCTGCCTCTGGAATAAGAAACAAAAACAGGGGTGGGGGGATGGGGGGGGGCGGGGGGGGGGGGGGGGGGGGGGGGGGGGGGGGCTGAATAGACAGTGACCTTGCACAGAGCATCTACCCATCCCCATAATTCAAAATGATACTGCTGAAGAAAGGTTAAGAGAAAGGCTCAGCGGGGGGAAAAAGGATGGGTATCGGTTCAGATAGAGCTCTCTTTCGTTATTTATGCATTGTTTCCACATACAGCTTTAGACAGTAATTATGTTAAAAGTGTAATCTAATCATAACAGTTGGCTGGGTGAGTGTGCGGGAGCTGACATTTTAAAATCTTATTTGGTGTAATCTCATTTGCCTAGCTATCATCTTGCCTCTGCCCCAATCTAAAGAAAATATAAACAATGTAATTAATTTTTATGGTCTTCGAAATATTACATGCCCAACTGTAAGGTTTTATTGGTTTTTAAATGAAGTGCCACTAGTGCCATTGACTTAGTTTTACTTTATCACAATAGTGTCTATGTTAATTACATGAGGGTGTCCCAAGTGCAGGGATAAGCTGGGAACAAGGACACATTTCAATGACTCAAGGTCAATGATGATTATTATTACACTCATGAATGTCACTATTAGTTGGAGCAGTAGCAGTCCAGCAGTTGTTGGGATGGGTGAAAATAGTAACAACACCACTAGTATAAATGGTGACATACAAGTGTACCGTTAGTGTCTTAGTAATCAACCACAATAGTAGTAGTCCTAGTCTTAGTAGTAGTAGTCATTTTAGATACTAGCATAAGTGGCAATAGTGGTAGTTCAGTGGTTCCTTCAATATCAACAATATTCAAAAAATGCATTACCTTGTCAATGGCTAACCTTTTGAAGTTGAATTCAAACAAATAACCTCATATCTGTAATCATATGTATATTTCCCCACTTGTAGTATGTACAGCTATGGTGAACAATAATTATGAACAATATATGCTTGATTGCATATATGTTATATTATTCACCTCCCTTTGTATTAGAGCAGGGGAAACCACAGCTGGATCCAAAGTAACATATCCAATGGATAAGCGGTCCCCATTCAACCCCTCTCCAAACGGTGTGTGAGGCCATGGTTATTCATGACTGCTTGGACTGAGAAACCCTCTCCTCTCTCAGTCCCAGTCCCAGTCAGTCATAGCCTATTCTCTCCTCTCCTCTGTGGTGGGAAAGGTAGCAGATGGGGTTAGGATGGGGATTGGGCTGGGCCCAAGGACAGCAAGCAAAGCAGCCAGATTAGCACATAGAGAATCTCATAGAAACCCTGCGCATCAGGCATTAGGCAACTCTGTATCCCCAGAGAAATCTGCCCCATACATGGGCAAATAGTCCTCAGAGAGCAAGACGTTATTTGTCTATTTGTGTTGGGGGGGGCAGGAATATGTTTCAGAAGATGACAAACCCACCGGCCTGCCTCAAATAGTAGTGAATCTCTTTTTTCTTATGCTAATGACTCCCAGAGTCCCCCCTTTTGTTTTCCAGAGGGGAAATGCTCTGAGTGCTATAATTAAGATGATGTTTTCTCTTTTTCATTTTTTTTCTTCAAAGCTAACAGAAATAAATAATTCTGGTAATAAGATCTGTGAAGTGAAGAGGCTTAATGTACTCATTGTGTTCATCCTTGTTTTCCCTCTTGGATGTTTTGTATTAATTAGACTGCGAGCAATCTCTGTCAAGCAATCAATTTGCATCTTGTTCCTTATCCACCATGTGAGGTATTATCATGTTTCCTGCTCCCCACCATCTCAGACTGTTTGCACATTACTCACCATGTATGTCTATCATGACCAGAAACCTTTAGCTAGCAGTGAGGCTTGGAATAGTATAATCGTTATCGGTAATTCATTGTCTATTATAAACTGTGTGGTTCGAGCCCTGAATGTTGAAAGGCTGACAGCCGTGGTATATCAGACCGTATACCATGGGTATGACGAAACAATTTTACTGCTCTAATTACGTTGGTAACCAGTTTATTATAGCAATAAGGCAATAAATGCTTAAGAACAGCCCTTAGCCGTGGTATATTGGCCATATACCACACCCCCTCTGGCCTTATTGCTTAAATATAATATGGTGAGTTAATACTATACAAAATTGAAAATATTGCATTTCGGTGAGATAACTCATTCGAAAGTTGTATCTTTCCACTCCACTTTTTATTTGATAGTTTTTTTAATTTGCATTAAAGGTATATATATATATATTTTTTTTTTACAGAGAATGAATTTCACACTCACATCCTGAAACAAGTCAAGAATTGTGCACACATCAACCAAGGTGGACCGCGTGGACCTTGCAGCACGTCGTATATATTGCCCAGAAAACTGCAAACAAAGGTAGGCCTAATAATATATTTGTATATATACTGAGCAAAAATATAAACGCAGCATGCAACAATTTCAAAGATTTTACTGAGTTACAGTTCATATAAGGAAATCCGTTAATTGAAATAAATTAATTAGGCCCTGTGTTGTGTGACAAAACTGCAAATTTTAAAGTGGCCTTTTATTGTCCCCAGCACAAGGTGCACCTGTGTAATGATCATGCTGTTTAATCAGCTTCTTGGTATGCCACACCTGTCAGGTGGATGGATTATCTTGGCTAAAGACAAATGCTCACCAACAGTGATTTAAACAAATTTATGCACAACATTTTAGAGAAATACGTTTTTTTGCTTATGGAACATTTCTGGGATTTAATATTTCAGCTCATGAAACATGGGACCAACACTTTACATGTTGCGTTTATATTTTTGTTCAGAATATATTTTCTAGTGATAGATTCAGGTAACATAAATATGGATAATAGAGCATGCTGCTCGTTGATGCCATCCATAATGAAGATGAAATGTAGAGCTAAATCCATTGTCCTGAAAAAACATATTTTACCAATTCACTTTACCTGTGAACAGATATAGTTGTGTATTTCTAAGGCTAATGGAAGTGGTAGCCAGGATGTTTTGGATAGGCAGCATGTTTAGCAGTGTCATGTCAACGCCCTTTTGACCCCTGTGAAATCAGAGACTCAGTTATTGTTTTACATATGCAGGGATGTGTAGCTAGCTTTGCTGAGTGTGCTGCTTTATTGTTATACCACAGCACTTAACTAACAAGTAATGTAGCCTACTGTAGGTTGAAGGTTACCATGCCTCCCAGTTTCTGAGTCCAAATTGGCTAGCTGAAACAGCCTTGTTTAATGATAGCCTCTTTAAAAATACTATGATCATACTGTCAACAGTGAAGAAACAGGACATATTTTGTATTGACCAATGACCACCATAATGTATAATGTCATATAGTTTTGTGCCATGTCAGGAATATATGACACAAACAAATCACAGCCTGAGAGTGTAGCAAATATTCAATACAAGCAAGGCCTTATTTGAATAGCATGTATCTATTTGTTCTGCCTGTGTAAATACTCTTTGAACATCATGCGTTCTCTCCATGTCTGCATGAGTTTTCTTCTTCTCTCTCATACCCTTAAACATCTACTGGAGCTTTTCTCAATTCTCCATTACTTTACTTCTGATTCCTCCTCTGCAGAATTAGATACATCTATACAGCTTCGAGTTTAAGGACCAACGATAGCTGTTGTCAAATGGGTGTCAAAAGCACATTCTCTATATACCCTCTCAGAACCTCTATGTTGCTCTTGAAGCAGAAACTATAATACTTGAACATAAATGGTTTGATCTGTTCCTCCGTCTCCCCTCAGATAATCATGAAGTTTAATTGATACAGTCATTTGAAGAAATACAGTACATCATTGAACACTCTCACAAACATATTGAGTGCAGTTGTAAAATTATGTTCTACTGACAAATTATCAGTGAAATATTGTATGTACTCCTCAGTGTCAAAACCAAGGTCATCAGGTATCTAATGAAGAGAGAACCATTAGTATATTCAATACTTGTTACCATAACGCTTTTGTATTTTCATAAAACATGATATTGTGGCTTGACTTGTAAGAAAGAGGAATTTAAATGTTTAATGTACAGAACATAAATAAGGTATTAAATGTTCTGGTACAAGAGGTTATGCTATGAGATATTGAATAAGTGTTTAAAACAAGTAGATTTACATAATGTGAGTGTTGCTTCTCAATAACACAGAGGTGCATAATGTGTAAATATTTGTCAACCTGTGACATTAATACAAGTACAGCAATTACGCTATCTGAATTTGAATTTGAAATGTATTTGTATTATTGTAGACATTGTAGCACATACACAGTATCTAAACAAATCTTTATAACTGAGTTATATACATTCTTACAGTGTGTCTGTCTGAATGTGTGTGTCTGTTTGTACGATGATGGAAAAAGTGTAACGAACTAATCAGGTACATTAGTTGTTACAGAATGTAATCTATAGTGTTTGGGTAGTTGTTTGTTTCAATAGGGCCCTAGTAATCAAAAGTAATGAACCTATTATGAGCAGGTCCTCCGAGGGCCCGGTGTGGCATTAAGAGTGTGGCACATAAAAGGTTTATTAAAGGAAATTAAGGTTCATCACTGCCACACCTGCTCCCCTATTATAAATGTATGACAGGTCAGTGCCTTCAATCACAACAGCAAACCAGAGAGAGGAGTCATGTTTCCCATTACCAGGAAAAGTAACAGCGTATCCTGTGACTCACAGATTTCACTGGCCTGTGACCACTATACACCGCCATCAGCCTGGAATAATTACGTTTAATAGGTTTTATTTGGGATCCACACACGCAATGATGGCGAGGGAGAGTGGATGGAATTTAACAAGTATTTTGGTCTAAACACACTACTGTCTGTCTGTATACCACCACCTGCACTTTAATGTCATTATTTTGCATTATTACGTGTTTCCCACCTCAAAGTTTTTTTTTGTTTTAACTTCACCTTAGCTTGGTATTTTGCTATTACATGCTACATGTGTTTTCGTGACTCTACACCGATTAAATGCCACAGATAATTTGCACATAACTACATAAATGTTCTGGGAAATATAGGCTATTGTTGATAGGAAGGGTCAAAATGACTTCAAATAAACTTCAACCACTGACGTCAAGGGCTCTCAAACATTAAATGGATCCAGCATCTGCTGATAAAATCTTAACATCATTATTCCAGTCCCAGTTGTCAATATTTACAGAATCTGTATTTTGATATAAATGAGTGTTACATGCATAATGATACATAGTGTGTTCTTTATTTACAGATGGATTCAGAAGGAGAGGATAACCCACTTCAAACATGCAACGGTGGCAAAGGTGAGTAGCTTCAACAACTCTTACCATGTTCAGGCAAGCACATCAATAGCAGTAACCGAGCGTTTCAGCTATTCACACACATTCCACTTATATAGCTCTGGGGTCTAGGGGGATATCAGTTCAACAATCCAACTTTACAACTGTCAGTTTTACGAATTATCTTACCAATTTGAAGAGCACTGCATTGCCATTACATTATTCAGATGGGGAATTACTTCATCAAATTGGAACAGTGACTCAAATTAGTTAAGGAGTGCATATATATAGTGTGATTGAAAACCCCTAGACAGGGGATGCCATTATGCTAGTTTTCCAAGCCTCTGAGGTCTGGTTGGTGGCACCAGAGCCATTACTATGTCTGGGAAATGTATTATGGGGTTGTGCTTCATGGGAATACGGTAGACCTCTGAATGAGATTTGCATCTGTGGTGCAAGGCCCTCTGGGAAAATCGATTTTGTCAAAGCTGTCAGGAGGATGATCTACAGTAGATTGGGGGAGTGGATCTTTTATCAATATAAAGGGAATCTTTGCTATAATGTTGTTCATATTAGAAGGCAAAAAATAAATAATATGTTTTACTTTTTTTTATGTAACAGTAACTCTTTTTATAGGTCATTTGCTAGAGTACGCTCCAAATTCATGCTAGGGGAACACCCCACTACCATGAGTGTACAGTAGTAGGACACAGTGTTAATTCCCAACTGGTTATCCAAAAGGTGGAGGTACTAGATCAGTAGCTTTGATCAGGATTGTGTTTCCCAAGTAGACAGATGCAGAGCCTGAGTCACTCCACAGTGGAAATATGAACATGACTATTTACCTGACATACCTCTGCTTCTGCTTCTGTTTACAGTTCCAGTTGAAGGCATCACCCAGGCTCCCAGGTAAGGGTTCATGACCTCTATGTGAAAATAAACTTTTACAGATATCCTCTAACTCCCGGGTTTCTATGTCCTTACATACAGAGTGAAATAGGAGTCCTTTGTTAGTAGATGTGGTATGCTGGCCATGCCCTTATCTTGATAATAACGGTTATAATTAAATTTGTCCCCGTAGCTCTTCACTGCTTCTACGTACATCATTTTTATAGTATCTTTGGGGGGTCCGTTCATCATCTCAGCTAAATACAGTTTCTTCAACCTTATGTTGACCTTTTTTCACTCTAGCTACAAATTACACTTATACTTTCTGAATCCCGCAAAATACAATTGGTGAATAAACTGACAATGTTACATTTTAGGTTCATTTTCAGTTGAACGTTTTCAGATGAACCCCAGTAACGGCTATGGCGCTTTGTTGACCCCGTTGCTCTTTTTATTTATCCAATCCCTCACAACAGCACATATGGGTCTATGGCTGCTAGGAAAAGACTCGCCCAGGAAGGGGTGCAGGGCGCCCCCGTCAACAAGAGAAAGTCTCTCCTGATGAGGCCCCGCCATTACAGCCCCAGCGAGGCGTGCTGCGAGGAGGAGAATGAGGACCTGGCACCGCCACAGGACAAAGAAGAGCTGAGGAACATTGACACTCCAGCAGGTAGACAGATGTCCTGTTGTTTTGTCTGTTTTGATGAACAATTGACGCTGAATTTTAAAATCCCATCTGTTGCATTCATATTTCCCTCCCTCTCTATTGCCTTTTAGGGCCCGGCATCAGCCAGACCCCATAGTCATTATGTACTGCAAGTGAAAGATGACACTGCTGGGTCCACATTAGTTGTGTCTGTCTCACGTCCTCAGATTGAAGTTTTGACAGCTTATCTGTCATGATATTTTTGGCATGGCTTTTCCCCACTTTTTTGATGAGGCCAGATTTTGGACTTCTCAATCTCTTTTGCTTTATGTGTTCGGTTTTTCTGAAAAGCCATTCAAAAATAGGTTAAAAACACAGAGAATTGAGAAATTATGATAATGTTTGCTTTAGGCCCTTCTGTTTTGAATCTCATCTGTTGATGTTTGTTTAGTAATGTTCGTTTAGTTGAGTGTAGAATATATGCATAATTGATTGATTATTAACACAAGCTGATGTTGCATCTTGAAAAGAACCAGCTCGCCTTCTGAAGTATGACATTGGCATTGCCTAAACATGTTCTTATAAAACCAATGTCACTGATACAATAGAATGGAATAAATTGGTGCTTATTTGTCAAAAGATACTAAGACCAAGCTACGTACTCAACAATGACATAAGGAAATATTTGTCTTTATTTCATTTAAAAACATTGTCCCTCTCCAAAAGCAAAACATTTATATTTCCTAATGAATTTAATTTTGAGCATTTTGGCCACAATATCCATGGTTTACACATGCATTCTCACCCACTATAATCTGCACTTATTTGGTATATTTTTAACGATGTAACTAAGCAACAAATGTAATTGTCCCCTTCGAAAGCTTTTGTTAGGCCCTCTAACACAGTCCAAATATATATAATTAGGCATAATGTCTACAGCTCATTATAGTACACATGTGGGTAGTTAAATGGACCAAGAGAATAGCTCAATGAATTGTGCAGATTCATTAGAAATGGAATTTATTTATTTCTGGGGTTCATATAACATTACAATTATCGTAACCCTTTTTGCACTAGATTTGCCATCCATTTATTTTCCCCCTCTGATAACTTTCTTTGTTCATATACCTCCCTCTCATGGTCTGTTTGTGTTTCAAGCAGAGCTTTTATGTGTCTGTATTCAGTCACCACTACTTCTGCACTGCATTATAACCTTCAAACGAGGGCACTTGCCAACAGCAAGCCCTATAAAATACAGTGAACATGTATCAAAAGTCAGGCAACACAAACAAATGACTGCACATTGTGTGGTTAACAAAGACCTACGTACATTTGTAAATATATTTTTGTCACAATCAGGTCTGGGGCTATTTTATGTGAAACGATTATGACAGTTCAAGTGGATAGAAAAATAATGTAACAGTGGGATACAGTTCATATCTGCATTTTATAGCAAAAAGAGGGAAAAACAAACCTCTCATTTGGTCGAGTCGCATTGCGTTCAACTCTAGCCAAGCTCCAACCTTGCTGCAGAGCGCCGGTAATGGCTATTCTGGAGTACAAACTCTTCACCTGTTCCAATACACAAACCACAGGAGGGATCCAAAAGCAGTCTCTTTTCTACTGCACTTCTTTCACTGTGTGTGTGTGTGTGTGTGCGTGTGTGTGTGCGTGTGTGTGTGCGTGTGTGTGTCATCCATCTGGACAAAAATAAGTACTTTTTTGTCTGCTGTGCTAATTGTAGCTAAGCATAACTGACTTTTACTCTTTGTTGAACAGGCTGCTATTTGTTTGCCTCTGTTTAGAATTAAATGTCTCTAGTAACAAAGAGATTATTAGCCACGTCATTGCATGTTATATGTCTCACAAAATCCAGCTTGATATTTTGTGGGGTTGAATCTAAAAAGGAGTTTAATTAAGTCTATTTCATGAAACTTCTTGCTCTGTTGCTGTTTTTATTTATTTATTGTCCTGTATTATATTCAGTACATTTACCTTAATTTGCACAATCCAAAATCATATGCTTCGAAACAAAAGCTTTTGGCAGAGGTCCGTTCGCCAGATAACACTTCCTGCATTTAGCAGCTTTTCTTTTGGGGGATTACGTTTTGTACTGTGGCCTGACTATAATGACGAGTAGTGTCTGTTTGATAATGTCTATATCATCCTCAGTGGAATCCACTTACAAGCCTATATAGCCTATACGCATCCTAAATTATTCCCAAATCTATCATCAACCTATCGGATCCCTCTCACTCCATTCTCTGTGGGCTACTTTTAGTTTGGTCCATGATGTCTAGCCACTTAAGAGGATAGATCTACTCAGTACAGTACAGCCTACTTATGATTTATGAAGTAAAAACCTTTATGGCCTTACCAAAGAGCTTTAGTACTGAATATAAGTTTAAATGATTTGGAGGATCAAAAGAGATTTTATCGAATCAATCCAGATGATAGCTTGCCATTGTTAATCATTGACCATGAGTTAATATTAATATAATCAGGGGTGTTACTAAAATAAAGTGTCATTTAAAATGCATTTTGGGGAACTAAGAGGCCTAGCTTTTCTGTCAGTTTCACATAAAACGGACTAAGCTGGAAACTAGAAATTGAATTGTCAAATATTTTACCATTACACACTGTCCTGGGATACGTTCAACATTTTGATATGTCAATGAAAATGTCCACTGATAAACATTTTAAACGCTTTCTTTAAAAAATGTTTAGTAAAGAATCAATATAAAAATAAATGACAAGGTGCACTCCACATAATTACATATTGAAAAGAGATTTTGAAAAATACAATTTTAATGAAAGAAAGGAAAGGAAAGGAAGAAGAAAACAATGGAACATTTCTTTTCTTTTTTTTTACTGACATTTTCCACACTTTCTTGGTTCTCATGCTTACATATGAATATGATTTCTTAAATGAGTTGTATGCGAATGTCTACAAGTTAATATCTAAAAATCATAAAGCCCTGCTTAGCTTACACCTAATAACTACTTAAAACGGATGTTCAGTGTCACAAGCGATGCAGGCTAAATCTCTGTCATAATCTGGTCCGTCTTAATCCACATCAAGTTGTTGTATTCTGATTGGAGATTTGTAAGAAGACGAAGAAAATATTTTTCATCATCTCTAGGTTTCATGTTCAACTAGCCAAAATAAGTGTCTCATGTATTATCTCTGATGTACTTGAGGAATTGCAGCATAATCTTGCAGTTGCGGTCCTGTCCATACTATTATTATTTTCATGACACATTTGATTTGTCAATCCTCTTAACAGTCTACAAGACATGCATTTTCAAGATATGAAAAACTGTCATGAAATGTGCGTTGAATGTCTCAACGAAACATTCTGACTAAGCTCAAATGGGGACATACAAAATTGTTACTCTTTCTGCCTAGCCAAATGTTCTCTGAAAATCATGGCCTTAACATGAACAATTGACTCAAAACTCACAGCATAGGTTTTTTTGCTCCTACTTTGTTTCTTAGATGGAGGCCAATATATGTTTAATGAAGTGCCCCACAGAAATGGCTGCCAGGACGCAATAACAAAACCCAATGATTCCTTTGGATGGTCTGAGGTGGTGACTGATGACTCTCCCCATGAGGAGGCTGCAGCCTCGGAAACTCTGGAAGATGAAGAGGTGGAGGAACGAAACCAAGAAGAAGAGGAAGAAGAAGACCAAAGTCAGGACAGGATGAGTATGACTTGCAGTTCCTCGCCACGTAAAAGCCCATACGAGGACAGCCGGGAAGCCGAGTGGGAGCCTCTGTCCCTGTTTCATTCTGCTAGGGTGAATGGCTCCAACGGCTCCATCAGCAGCCCCTCCAAAGCCACCACCGGAGGAGGACACCCATTAGGCAGGAACGGCCACCAACACATGAGAGACGACGATCCTGACTCGGACCTGAGGGGGTACAACATAGGCAGAGTAGGCCCCTTCCAGGCAGGGGCCTTGCGGCTCTACCAACCGACACCCAGTGAGGAGGACAGTGAGGGAGAGCCAGAGGTGGAGAGGCCTCCCCAGCTGGAGGCCTGGGCGCTGGGCCTGCAGGAGATGGAGAGACCGCTGGGCCTGGAGATGGACAGAGACAGAGGAGACAGAGACATGGACAGAGGGAGGGTGAACCTGAGCCTCCTGGAGCAGGCCATGGCCCTGCAGTCAGAGCAGAGGCATGTCATCCACAACGCCTATAGGGAGATGGACAGGTTCCTACTGGAGCAGATGACCAATGAGAGGAGGCACCAAAGGCTATTGGATGTGAACTCCAGGGTGGGCTACCATGGATGCAAAGGTATGGATAATAGATTTGAATATGTCTTATTTCTTTGTCAATTCAAGATTCTAGTTGTTTTAGCATGTTTATGTTTTTTTTACAACAGGTTTTTATCAACATAATGATAGAGGACCCTTTTCTTTAAGCCCTTCCTCTGTTTTTGTATGTGTACTATTTAGGAAACTTGAGAATAATAGGACTACATACAATGAATATTGCACTTATTGTAATGAAGAGTAGTGGGCATAAAAGAAGTACGCAGCAGACATGATTATGCATGTTTATCTAGTATGGATCAGCCCACTTGTGATTTTAATAATGAGGCTCTTCAAAACATAAAAATAATAAAATAACCATATTCCGAGGGGGAAATTGGAGGGAGGAGGGGAAAAATCCTCTTAAGTACTAAAAACATTTGGGCAACAAATGATGTAATAAATAAACAGACTAAAATTTAAAAAAGAATAAAATCTTCTGATGGAATTGCTACTACTCAGAATATTGGATTTTGATAGGAATCAACTGGATATTTAACCATGACCATAAGTCTTAAATCCACCCAAAGTACCCCTCATGTTTTCCACTGATTCTTCAAATGACTGCAGCCTAATGTGTAATCCCAGATATAATCTTTCGATGGATGGGCATTAAGATGTGAATGCCCTGTGTTGAACTGGAAGCCTTAACTAAAATGACAGATTAATAGAAGCATTTTGCAAAAAGTGTCTAGCTCTTTGCATGATACTGTCCTGCAATCTGTATGTTTCTATGTAGCTACTGTATATCTATAGCACTGTAGCTTCAGTATTTAAGTGTGTTTTCATTTAGCAATTCCCAGAATCTCACTTAAAATACATTTCCGAGGAACATTCATGCAAGAAAACCTCTACAAGTTTAATCAAATATTAAACTGAAGTTCATTAGCCAAGACAATATTGCCAAAATACTTTTTAATGAACAATTACCTTTGTTCTACTCTTTGTTTGTGTGGTAAGGAAGGTTATAAAGCATGTTAAGCATGTTAAGAATGATACTGCAACATTCTTAAAGGTGTCGTTATGTATATGTGAATGTCTATGTATAAATCGAAGAGTTCCTGTTGTTTGTCTCCTCCCAGACTCTCCACGGCCAGACAAGAAGGATATTAGGTGTCCTACCCCTGGGTGTGATGGAACTGGCCATGTCACTGGTCTGTACCCTCACCACCGGAGTCTGTCTGGCTGTCCCCACAAAGTCCGAGTTCCCCCAGAGAGTAAGTCACTCATATACACACCTGCTGTATACATCATACATACACAAGCATGTACACATATAGAGTAGAATGGGATGTTGTTATCAATCATAAAATAAGTTCTGATGTTCGAATGAAATCATGAAAGTTATCAAATACAGATGTAGGATCTTAATTTGAGCCAGTTTGCTACAGCAGGAAAATAATCCTGCAACAACAGGAAATGTGAATTATTATGTGGTTTATAATTAATGCCCATTTTTCTAGGAGTTAATGCATTTTTCGTAAGGCATAATTAAGTCTGAAATTTGAACGTGGAAATTACAAACTTCAGATGCATTTTTAAACCTCAAATACACTACAAGTTTAACATTTCCTGCAACAAGGTGATCAAATTAAGATCCTACATCTGTAGTTCCAGAAACTGTTTGATTGAAGGGCATCTCTACATTTTCCATTAATAGAATCATGCAAATAGAAAAATCATATTTCAATACACAATTGAGACATGTTGTCACCTAGGAACTTGGAGTTTACTTCTAATTTCTGAAAATTGAAAAGGCTTTTTTATTGGTTGTGATTTATTCATTTCAATGTAACATAATAAACATCCAACATTAAACAATAATGATACAAAAGGAACAGAAAAAGTAATTACATTTTTTCAATATGAAAGCATGTGCTCTTAGACCAGAGGCAGTGTTTGCAAATCAAAGGGTTACTAACTCTGCATTCAAAAATAAATAAACAAAACCTGCAAACTAACTGGAAAATATGTACAGAAAATAAAAGTTTCCAAGGATACCAAGTGGAACTCCAACAATGAGAATGTTTTATGAAAAAAAAAAAAGAAGTGCTTTCTTGTTATATTCTTATTTCCACTAAAGTATTTGTATTATGCAACCAACACACAGTGCACTGACAATGGGAACAGTGCTAGTTAGACATGCTTGTGTCTTCAAAGGATCTGTGCACTATAACCATGGTTTCTTTCCGATGTCAGTACATAAGGAATGTGTTAATTGAATTAAATTGTCAAGAAATGAACAAGCAGACTGTATGCCTATAGTTTTCAACTTGATCACTGTGGATACATTATTATTTTCCTGTCTTATCATGTTGTGCTCTGTTAATTATGTTAACTATAGATCCTCCTATGACTCCTATGCCTACTCTACATGGTATCATCACTGATACAGTATATTTACCACTGATGTACAGTAAAGCTCTCCTTCTACTAACCCTACTGTCTCACCTACTGTCCCTCTCCTCTCCTGTCTGTCCCCAGTCCTGGCCATGCATGAAAACGTCCTCAAGTGTCCTACTCCCGGGTGCACAGGAAGGGGCCATGTAAACAGCAATCGTAGCACCCATCGGAGGTACAGCCTGCAGGACTAACCCATTAAAAATGTCAAACTGTACCTAGATAGGTTTAATGTCGGACTAATGGGTTTGATTTCCTCCTATTCCTCCTTCTCCTCATCCAGTCTCTCAGGCTGCCCCATTGCTGCTGCAGTGAAAGTCTCCAAACCTCAAGAGGAGAGCCCCAAATGCAGGCAAGCACCTGAACGAATGTCCAGGTAAAATCACATGGACTGAGAATGTATGTTTTAACACATGTTATAGCTGTAATATTGCAATATTGTCACTTTGACTGTTGACTATTATTGAAGTGCATGAGCATGTGCACATATATTATGATGACAGTAAACCATTGAGACATAAAACAAATTGATTCTGAGAGCATAGTCCCTTTGATATAAAACAAAGTTTGTGTTCGTTGACTTTCAATTGCAATATCATATAAAATCAGGAGATATGTTGGTTAACATTTACTGTATCATATCCAGTTTATTCATTCAGTGTATTGTAAAATGAATGACAATATATAGCCTAGCAAAGCATCACAGATATGGTTACTCAGTATCACTTGTTCTTAAGCAATGGTTTAAGGTCCCATGAGATTCTCCCTATTAGAGACACAGAGCATCAGAACTCTTTCTTCCCTGTAGAGAAATGACGGGCAGACTGCCTACTCATACTAAATTAATTAGTTGGGCAACATGCCTGTGTGTGAACCTACAATACAGATCAGATCCCACAATCCAGGAGGAGGACATTGATATTATTATATGATTCAAACTACATTGTGTCTATTACTTTCACAATCACCACCACCTCTTCCACAGCTAACATGTGCATAACAGTACCAGTCATGTAGTAACCAAAAAAGTGTTAAACAAATCAAAATATGTTTTATATTTGAGATTCTTCAAATAACCACCCTTTGCCTTGTTGACAGCTTTGCACACTCTTGGCATTCTTTCAACCAGCTTCACCTGGAATGCTTTTCCAACAGCATTGAAGGAGTTCCCACATATGCTGAGCATTTGTTGGCTGCTTTTCCTTCACTCTGCAGTCCGACTCATCCCAAACCATCTCAATTTCGTTGAGGTCGGGGGATTGTGGAGGACAGGTCATCTGATGCAGCACTCAATCACTATCCATCTTGGTCAAATAGCCCTTACACAGCCTGGAGGTGTGTTGGGTCATTGTCCTGTTGAAAAACGAATGATAGTCCTACTAAGCGCTAACCAGATGGGATGGCATATCTCTACAGAATGCTGTGGTAGCCATGCTGGTTAAGTGTGCCTTGAATTCTAAATAAATCACAGACAGTGTCACCAGCAAAGCACCCCCACACCATAACACCTCCTCCTCCATGATTATGGTGGGAAATACACATGCGGAGATCATCCGTTCACCCCACACCGCGTCACACAAAGACACGTCGGTTGGACCCCAAAATCTCCAATTTGAATCTCCAATTTGTCCATTGCTCGTGTTTCTTGGCCCAAGCAAGTCTCTTCTTCTTATTGGTGTCCTTTAGTAGTGGTTTCTTTGCAGCAATTCGACCATGAAGGCCTGATTCACAAAGTCTGTGACTTGAACTCTGTGAAGCATTTATTTGGGCTGCAATTTCTGAGGCTGGTAACTCTAATGAACTTATCCTCTGCAGCAGAGGTAACTCTGGGTCTTCCATTCCTGTGGCAGTCCTCATGAGAGCCAGTTTCATCATAGCACTTGATGGTTTTTCGACTGCACTTGAAGAAACTTGAAAAGTTCTTGAAATGTTCCGTATTGACTGACCTTCATGTCTTAAAGTAATGATGGACTGTCATTTCTCTTTGCTTATTTGAGCTGTTCTTGCCATAATATGGACCTGGTGTTTTACCAAATAGGGCTATCTGATTGGCTCAAACGCATTAAGAAGGAAAGAAATTCCACTAATTAACTTTTAAGAAGGCACACCTGTTAATTGAAATGCAATCCAGGTGACTACCTCATGAAGCTGGTTGAGAGAATGCCAAGAGTGTGCAAAGCTGTCATCAAGGCAAAGGGTGGCTATTTGAAGAATATCAAATATCAAATATATTTACTTTAACACTTTTTGGGTTACTACATGATTCCATATGTTTCATTTCATAGTTTTGATGTCTTCACTATTATTCTACAATGTAAAAAATTGTAAAAATAAAGAAAAACCCTTGAATGAGTAGATGTGTCCAAACTTTTGACTGGTAGTGTATGTGTCAATATCCTATCCTTACATGCATTTTATTTGACACCATAGCCACTTTCCTGCCCACTTGTGTGCATGTGTCAATTTCCTAGTTCCTTACATGCGCTTTATTTGACACATACAGTAGCCACTTTCCTCATCAAATCCAACAACAACACCTCGTCTTCTTGGATTCTTCTCCAACCAGACCTCTCGGCCCCCTCATGAAGAAGTTGGAGTTCAACCAGTACAGCTACAGGTTCGCCCATCACCATCCTGTCACCGCCGCCTTGCAAGACAACCTCACCAAGGACATGGACAAGTACAGCAAGATCCGCTTTGATTACGCCAGCTTTGATGCACAGGTCTTCGGCAAACAACCTCTGATGGCACCCAACCAGGACCAAGAAATCTCTCCTTCACACTTCCCTGACTGTGAGTTTCGCACATTTGGGGGGTGGGGGGGGGGGGGTGGGGTGGTGTGTTGGAACCATAACAGCATGTCAAGCCACATTAAAGGGATTTAATGTGCAAGCGTCGCTCATCTTCTGCCACAAATGTGCAACTCATACATGATCAAACAACAACCAAACTACAAGTATGCAACACACTCACAAGGTTCCTGTAAACAAGACAATCATGCTAGTTTAATACTGCTTACATTTACAGTTTAGTCATTTAGCAGACGCTCTTATCCAGAGCGACTTAGAGTTTGTGCATTCATCTTAAGATAGCTAGGTGGGACAACCACATATCTCAGTCATAGTAAGTACATTTTTTCTCAATAAAGTAGCTATCAGCAAAGTCAGTGCTAGTAGGATTTTGTTTTTAAATACAAAAATAGTTGGGTCCAACAGATCTGTCAGATCCTGAGAGAATTGTCATTTTATCAAGAATACATGTTTTATCAACACAGACTTTATTTATTCAGGCACAGACTGATTCCATTGAAACCACACTGTAACAACAAACGTATAGCTGGATGCATGATTCACCGTAATGTAGTGAGTATAATCAGTTGTTCCTGTATCTCTGTGTAACTTGCTGAATGTGTGTTTTGTTATCCAGCAGCTCTACAGTACACTGGCTTCCTGGGTGCCCCTGGCAACCTCCTGCCCACGCCTGGCCCCGGACGGCACAGCCCACCCAGCCATTACAAACCTGGATGTGAGGGGCTCCAAGACACCGTAGCCACCACCGCCATCCTCAACCTCTCCACCCGCTACCGAAGCAACATGGAGGCCATCTCCATCTCCGGCCAGCCCCTGGCATCCTCCACAAAGGTAATCAAATTAGACCACTTGGAAAGGTATTTAATGGGGTCATTTTAAAGCAACTCTGATTTGTGTATAAAAAGGGAGAAACATCAAAAGGACCGTTTTTGGCAATGTGATGGTGTCTCTGGTGGCAGGGAAACAAGAGGTTCCCCTCCGTAAAGCTTTAATGTACACAAAAGAAAATGTGTGTATTCACATCAAAAGAAAAAAAAATACAATCAGCCTTATTTCTCAATTACAATTAGACTCTGTAGTTTCTACTTTTATGGTAATGGACCAAAAAGAAAATGAAAAAAATACCTGTATGAAAGTGTGTCTTGCATGCTGCAGAATATATTTTGTTTAACAATATAAATTATTATCGAGGATAAAGGCGTCAGCATGCTTCAGTTTGGCTGGCGGCTAGCCGAAGTCGGCTAGGTGAACTGAATGACTGTGCTCGCATACTCCCTTAAAAGACATTCTCTTGAAAAACAAGAAAAAAGCGGAAATAGCCAGTATACACTTTAATCTAAGATTCATTTTGATGCTTTTGCCTAGGAGATCTTATGTTTGGTGCAGTATTTCTAAATTTAAAAAAATTGCATGAAAATGAGTCTTCTCTCGTTGAATGACAACAAAGACTTTACTGAAGAATCCCTACCAGTCACTGACGAAGGGGCGTAGACTTTGGCTACTGACTTCGGCTTGCCTCAAGAAAAAATGTTTTGTGCCCGAACAACCAAAAAAAACCTTACCCAAATCCAAAACGAACAAAAACGTCATAAAATGATATCATAATATATGCACAAACTCTTCCAAACTATTACAATCCCCCTTATTTCTCAATTACAATTAGACTCTGTAGTTTCTGTAAAACATGTGGTCATGCATTTAATTTCTACTTTTATGGTAATGACCAAAAAGAAAATGAAATAAATTATAACTGTATGAAAGTGTGTCTTGCATGCTGCAGATGGCGGAATATATTTTGCTTAGTAATACATTATCCAGGATAAGCTGTGTCTCTATCAGATGGCCTATAAAACTAGTTCAGTGGATTAAACCAATCAGCTGAAGGACTCATTAGCTGAAATCTTTTATTCACACAAAACCAAAATCTCAGTGATTTATTAAATGTGCACCAGTTTAGTTTAAAACTTGACCCATTTGTGCACATCCTGTATAATCTATAGTGGGAAAACCCCCAAAACCATGATACTCTCAAATTAACTGAACCATGGCCTTCCTATGCATAAAGTTTGACAGCATAACAACTAATGTCTCAAAACCCAAACAAGGCCTCTCTGCAGTATGTAATTTATGACAGAATATTGATAGATAAATGATTCAAGGTTCCCAACACCTACACAGTACAGAACCCAGCTTGGTGAGCTGAGAATGTGGTCCTGTACCAGGTGCCAACCCACTGAATGAATAAAACAGTGTTAGCAACTTAATCATTTGTGCTCTTCTGCAGTGGACTTATGTAGCATACATTACACTGTATGGGGCCATGCAACTCATATGTTTGTTTGTATCTCTGTAGGCTACCAGTGATGCAAATGCAACAAAACATGCATCACAACTCAATGTGAAAAGTTCATGCTGTTGAGATTAGCTACAGACATGTCACCATCACACACATAATTAAAATGGGCAGCCACACATGCATGCAATGTCCATGAAAATTATCCCCTTTAATTAATTTGAAAGGCTCTCTTTTGTTACAAAAATAATGGAAGATAGGTTTAATGGGATATATGCGTTGAATAATTGGTTTCATTTATAGGCCGGATTTCGGCATTTAATGAGGTAAAACTTTTAATACTATAAAACCTATAAAGCTCAAGCACACAGCCTAGCATTTCACATAACACAGAATGAGTAACACATCTGTCAGTGAGAAAACTTATGCTGCATTTTAAGCTTTTACATTTTTGTTTTAATGGTGATGACCTAAAACCAGCACCCCCAGCTGCCATCTTGGTTGTGTGTCCTAGAAAACAGACAGATTACACAGCTGTCACAAAAAAACTATACACCAAGCAGCGATTATTATTTTGTTCAACAGAATTAATGCTGGCTTAACATCACACTTTACCCCGGTGTTAGATAATCACTGTGCGTCTTACTTTACTCATGTAAATGTATATTTGAGGTGCAATTCAAGTTATTTCTCACAGGAATTATACAAGTTGTCATTTTCAGAGTGGTACACGCTTAAAGCATTGTAGTTGGGGCTAAGGCATGTCATGGAAATATATTAATATCAAACTTCATAACCCACATTTTCTTATTTCCACGAAGACTGGCATCCCAATGTAACCTGCTGACTATTATCGAGTCTGACTTGTGAACTTCTTCTCATTTAGGACATGCCCATAGACGTGGATGAGAACGGCACTCTGGACCTGAGTATGAAGAAAAGTCGGGAGGTGAAAGCCCCACCCAAGGTGCCTTTGGGAGACGCTGCCCTGTCCCCTCCTGAGTCCACTCTCAAGCAGGCCAGCAGTGTGCACATCAGCCCTGCCTTCTACCATGCCCTGTGTGAGAGAGATGCCTGGGACACACCTCTCAACTTCAGCAAATCACAACAAATGATGCACGAAAGAGAGGTAAAAAACACAACCTGATTGTTAATCTGTTAAATGCACAATAAATACTGGGAGTTCAGGTGGGCCTTCGCTCTTCAGCAAATAAAGGAAATGAGGGGTGCTCAACAACAATGACAAAAATCACGAGAATGGCTTACCAAGAAAAACTTCCAAAAGGACTAATTCGAGGTAAAAACAAATATTGTACCAGACCTATGAAACAGAGCTTATTTGGCAAAAGTTGTTGAACAAGAGAAACGAGAGCTACCGATAATGGAGAAACATATTCATGAGACTACCAACAGGCCCCTGGTCTATAAAGGTGATATGGGCATACAATGTATAATGATAGATAATCGTGTATACTGTGTATGTTCCTAATAAAGCTCTTGTTAAAGAGAGTGTTCCTCACAGCTGGTATTCCTGGTTGTTGTCGATTTAAAAGGCCATGACATTTGTACTGTTGTTAATTCACCGACGACAACATCTGGTGCTGAACACAGAATCTTTGAGAAAGTAAATCCAAATGATTTATTTCACAAGTATTTCCGTCATAAATACTGTCCGTGTGGATTAAATGTGACTTTAAATGGATGTATGGTTTACTGTAAGTATCCTTAAGCGTAATACCTCAGCCTTACCCCCAACCCCTAGGCTTGTGATTTAAGAGTAGTAAGTGGGATGTTTTCATTGATAATTCACTTTTAGATCATGTTCAAGACTCAAGACTGAGACAGGAAGTCAGGAGGTTAAGCAGATTTTTAAGGACACTTTATTATTAAGACTGCGTCCAAAATGGCACCCTATTACTTATGTAGTGAAAAGGGTCAATTTCAAACGTACCTATGTCTCTCAGCAGGAGGATTTTGACGACGCTTCTCTGGAGGACCAGAGCTACTCCGGAGACGCAAGCATGTTAAGCCCCAAGACCAAGATGCTCTTAAGAGATGCTAAGAAAGAGCTGATGAGGTATTTCATGTTAAACATGTTGGGTCGGCTCATTCTGGGGGTCCAGTGAGGGGAGAAATTGACATATTGAGGCTTCTTTGCTCAGTCATCTGTGTATAATGTGTATTTCCCTCTAAAAAGGTCAGCTGACAGATGGTCAGTATTAATAACAAAAGTGTAATTCCCGACCAGACCTTTTAAATGGGGCAGTATATTATAAGTGGGGTGACTGAATACACGCTCAGTGAAATGCACTGGACATGATCTATCCTATTATTAGCTCTTATATTGTTGCCTATTATATATTACATATCGTTGTGACTGGTATGTCTGCAGGTTCATGTGGAGAGGAAATGTATCTTGTTAAAAGTGAGTTTTTACATGTCCGTATGTCCTCAAAATGAGCTTATCACTCTTGACTTTGTAGTTAGACTCTGCATGTTCTATTGAGTTAGGCTCTGGGGACTTTATTCACTTTATGGTTAGGTACGATTGAGTAGTTTACAGAAAACAATTAGATCTTCCAAGTGAGCACCTTTTTATGAGCAACTTTCTGCCACTCCAAATAAACACCATCAGAGACATTGTTGTAGTGAATGTGTTCGGGAGTAAAATATCTTCTACTAAATTTCCTGCTGCACTAACTTCACACTTCCAATTCCACTAATGCAAATCAACGTCATGTTAAAAAGGTTAATATACTGTATTAGAAGTCCATGTATTGTAGAGTATGGTCTAACTAAGTGTTGTGTTCTCTGCAGCTGTCCTACCCCCGGCTGTGACGGTAGTGGCCATGTAACAGGAAATTATGCATCACATCGAAGGTAATTACACACTCATTAACACCAGCTAGTAAATACTGTAAGGCCTGGTTCAGAGGAACAATGTTGATTGTTTCATGTTGATTAGTATTATATGCTGCTGAAACTGTTTTTCTTTTATTCAACCTATTGTTGCTGTGGAATTTAAGTAATTTAAAACTTATTTGTAATTTTATTGAAACGTTGGACAGAAACAACTGTTCAAACTTAACAAATCTTAGCATTTTTAGAACTGAAACCACCCCCCCAAAAAAAATGTGAGATGATAATGCAAATGATTGTCATATGGATTGGGAGAAAATGACGTCTCTGCCACATTGCACTGTACAGTATATCAATCACTGTCAGACTTCAATTGAATTGAACTATGATCAAAGGGTTCATTATAATAACTCTCAGCTGTGTATCCTCTGTCTGTAGTGTATCTGGGTGCCCCCTGGCTGACAAGACTCTCAAATCACTGATGGCAGCCAACTCTCAGGAACTAAAGTACGTGTTGTCCTGTCAGTCATCATCAACTGTTTATAGCCAGTAGTTCACCTGTTTGTGTTCACTGAGTCAACTTTGTGCTATTTTATTGGATTACATTATACATTCCACCTGGTCTCATGCTGTTTTAGTCATACAATACACTGACTATATTGAATTTGGACTTTTCTCCACTTCGTGTGATCAGGCTGTATACACTGAGTGTACAAAACATTAGGAACACCGTCCTAATATTGAGTTGCAGACCCTTTTGCCCTCAGAACAGCCTCAATTCGTTGGGCCATGGACTCTACAAGGTGTCGAAAGCGTTCCACAGGGATGTTGACTCCAATGCTTCCCACAGTTGGCTGGATGTCCTTTGGGTGGTGGACCATTCTTGATACACATGGGAAAATGTTGAGTGTGAAAACCCCAGCAGCATTGCAGTTCTTGACACACTCAAACCGGTGTGCCTGGCACCAACTACCATACCCCTTTCAAAGGCACTTAAATCTTTTGTCTTGCCCATTCACCCTCTGAATGGCACACACACAATCCATGTCTCAGTTGTCTCAATGCTTAAACATCCTTCTTTAACCTGTCTCCTCCCCTTCATCTACACTGATTGAAATTGATGTAACAGGTGACATCAATAAGGGATCATAACTTTCACCTGTTCAGTCTATGTCATGGAAAGAGCCGGTGTTCCTAATGTTTTGTACACTCAGTGTACATTATGCAATATACTGTATATCTACTGACCTCATAGAACCTTTAAGTCTTTAAAAAAATGCATTTAAATATGATATCATTGTCCAAGACGTCGCACTGAGTTTCACCTGTTTTGTCTGTCTCTCCACCTGCAGGTGCCCAACACTTGGTTGTGATGGATCTGGACATGTGACTGGGAATTATGCTTCACACAGAAGGTAGTCTAGACTGGATGACACAAATTATTGAATAGATTAACAGGAATGTGTTTGAATCTCGTTGTTTATTTTTATGAATTCATGAATCTTTGACATTTGGTAAACTGTTGTATATCCAAGAAGATACGATTCTGACGACACCTGACTGATTTTTAAAACTGATTTTGTTGTTTAGAATGTGGTTTTCAGTGACATGCTATGTGATAATCATTGATGGAAGAGTTTGCTTGATTTTAGCCCTAAAGTAGTGTTCATTATTGTTAAACCGTATTGTCTCTAAACATTTGTAGTTTGTCAGGATGTCCACGTGCCAGAAAGGGGGGCTTGAAGCTCACACCAAACAGAGATGCAAAAGACGAGCAAGAAATTAAGTAAGAGATTATTCTTATTCTTATGATTTCTGTTTGATATTTGTTGTTTAGTTTTTTACTGGCATGACTACATGATTGCTGTCTCATTGAATGAAAATACTTGTATCCTGTTGTTAAGAGGTCATTATACCAGAAAAATATAAAGGAAATTGTTTTTCTGATCATAACATTAGTAGATCATCTTTCAAGGATTAACAACATGTGTATAATACATGTTTTCAAACACTGTAATATTTTGAGTTTTCTTATAAGAATATCTGGCTTATCACTCTCTTGTGTGAGTGTTTTCCTTATCATCGTGTATTGTTTATTACAGGTCCCCCATACTACTGTATGGGTACAAAGCTTTGATTCGCTGATGTAAAGCTTAATAATTCTAGATGCAGTTGTCTCTGGAAAAACTGTTATTGGTATTACATTTACATTTTAGTCATTTAGCAGACGCTCTTATCCAGAGCGACTTACAGTTAGTGAGTGCATACATTTTCATACTGGCCCCCCGTGGGAATCGAACCCACAACCCTGGCGTTGCAAGCGCCATGCTCTACCAACTGAGCTACACGGGACCATAAAAAAATTATGTAATTGATTGCTGCTGCTTAAATCCAAAGTCAGATGTATGAGACCTTGTTTACTTCTACAACTGGACAGACACAGATTTTCCATTCTTTTTAATTACTAATGCAGGGCCAAGAGCTTAGGAATTAGACTGGAATAAATCTCATCCACATTAAGAGAGGGTGGGGGAGCGGCAGGTAGCCTGGCAGTTAGAGCATTGGGCCAATAACCAAAAGGTTGCTACTGTAGTGATTCTGTAATGTTACTAGATTATTGTAAATTGTAGGCCATATGGCATGCTTCCATTGTCCTGGTACCTTCCATCTACCTGTGGTGTATGGATGGATGGAAGTAATGGGGTTGGGGTTGTTTTGTCCTCTAAGTACTAGCAGTACTCTGAACAATGAAGTGCAACAACAAGCATTGTTACAGTAGCACTCTGTTTGTACGCTAGTTCTGTGTTCCATTTGTACTATCTCAGCCTGCCTTTCACCTTTACCAATAAGGGAAGGGGTCGGCAACCCTTAAAATTACATTCTTCACATGACGGGATACATGACAATTATGTGTAATTCATGTCACTCCATTACTGACCTGTAGAAAACAGAGCTGGAAAAATGTAATTACCTTTATAACTCTTAACAATATTCAACAAGACTTGTGCTTATGTTTTTCGATTACAAAAACCAATAACCTACCTCGTACTGTATATGTAGGCTATATCAATCTGAATGTGTTTATTATTCCAAAGTTTTTGTGGATTAGCAATTTGGCTGATACGATTATTTGAGCCTGCTTGACTACATTTTTAATCAGCATTTGACTGGATTAATCAACGTAATGGTTTGACAAATCTTCCGGTCTAGTTAGTGAGGGATATTTATGAACTGTGCAAATGATTTGTTTGAGTACGTACGTATGTATTATGTGTGATTTAAGAGGTTAAGTAAAGTCGTCGCAACTCAGTTGACAGCATTTTGATCTACTTACATTTCCATTGTACTTAAACTGTAAACAGAGATAGATTTACATATCTCAGATCATACTGTATTTACTACATCTGTCATATCAAATGGCCTGAACTGCCAAACTATTCTGAGCGAAAAACAGCTTGCTGGTGACAATAATCTTTCTCCTCTGCCTCATCTGAATGAGAATAGGCATCTCTCACAGGGGCACTCTGTACATTGTCAACAGTCTGTGTTACAACATGAATCACTCCACTAGCAGTTTAAGGGGAGTACATCATATAGTAACAGACTCCTGGGTATATATAGAATGAATAGACCTGACACAATTCCCTATTCTATCTGACAGATAATCATATCTGTTCTATGCGATACATTTCTAACTGAACATTTGTAATGTAAAATCCTCCTTAACAGATTCCTTGTTTGTCTCCGTACTAGGTGTCAAGTGATAGGTTGTGATGGGCAGGGCCACACATCGGGGAAGTACACATCTCACCGCAGTGCAGGGAGCTGCCCCCTCGCTGCCAAGAGGCAGAACGAGTCATCCATCAATGGCCTCCCCTTCCCCTGGAATAAGGCCTGCAAACAGGAACTGCCCCACTGTCCCCTGCCCGGCTGCAATGGCCTTGGACACGCCAATAACGTGTTTGTCACCCATAGAAGGTGAGGTTGCATTGCATCAATGTTGACCCTTATGATTCTAGTGACATTTTTATAATTTCTATTGATACTACTATTCTTCACCACTGACCCTTAATTAAAGGCGCACTCCTTGAATTGAAAAACATCTAAATAGCTTGATATTGACATTAGTGAGTTTGTATTATTTATTTCTTTTTATTTAATTTTATTTCTAAATAGTTTGTCTGGATGCCCACTTAATGCTCAAAGTATCAAGAAGAAGATGTCAGGAGAGGAGATGGTGACTATTAAACTGAAAGCCAGCAGTGGTAAGTCATGGTGGTGGACAGTACATACAGTATATGCTTTGGCAGGATAATATATTTTATGGAAATGTTAATCTTAGTACCATCAAAGTATGTGTAGACCCTCTGCTAGTTGATTCACTGAAGCACAGTAGCAGGTTTAGCTTGCATTTCATAAGAGTATTCTCCATTTTCAAACAGGAGTCGACAACAACGATGACATGCAACACTTGGATCATGAAATCAAGGAACTGAACGAATCCAACCTGAAAATAGAAGCTGACATGATGCAACTGCAGACCCAGGTAACTATCCACATCTGTGATGATATGATGGTTTTCAAAGGATTCAGGCCTAGTTCAGTTTGACAAGTTTTCCTCTTCCCTGAAAGCAGATTTCGTCAATGGAATGTAACCTGAAGACAATAGAGGAGGAGAACAAAATGATTGAACAGCACAATGACAGCCTTCTGAAAGAGTTAGCTCGCCTCAGCCAAGCTCTCATCAACAGTCTCACAGACATCCAACTGCCTCAAATGGTACAGTAGGCCTCATCCGAACCTCCTCACTTGCACTTGTAGCATTTTTTTACCATATTTTTATCTATAGTGCAGTATTTCCAAAACTCGGTCCTCGGGACCCCAAGGGGTGCACGTTTTGGTTTTTGCCCCATCACTACACAGCTGATTCAAATTATCAAAGCTTGATGATTAGTTGATTATTTGAATCAGCTGTGTAGTGCTAGGGCAAAACGTGCACCCCTTGGGGTACCGAGGACCGAGTTTTGGAAACCCTGCTATAGTGGCATTAAATTCTTATTGTCAATATATGCTTCAGTTTGTGAACTAATATTAGAACATGTTTGTGTTCCAGGGGCCCATCAGTGAGCATAATTTCGAAGCCTATGTGAACACATTAACAGATATGTACAACAACTCGGAGCACGACTACTCTCCCGAGTGTAAGGCTCTCTTGGATAATATCAAACAGGCTATAAAGGGAATCCACGTTTAAGCTGTCGAGCCACCAAGAGGAGGTATCTTTGAGATGGGATAATGGCACTGGATGGCTGTGTTTTTCCTGGAGAGTGCCGTGCTGGCTTAGTTGCATGTATAAGACAAAGCTTTGGGAAATGTGTCGACATTTCACAGTTGAATACATTGCACTGAGACAATTACCAGCCAACATTTTTTTTACGCTTCTGTATTCACTTGACATGTTACTTCTGGTGAGATTTCTACCCCCCTTGCACTTAATTATTTTGTATGGTTTACTTGATTTAAATCTGTATTTGTTATTTTTTGCCATTGTTATATTATTGCCATTTATTATCTTTATTCATCAATGTATTTATTTCACCTTTTTTTTAATTGTATTTCTATGATTGTAAAATGCTAAATATTTGAAATCCTTTGACTAATTCAGCACGTTGTATATTACATTGAAGCGCATTCCAGTTTCAATCATAGCTCTCTTTCGCCGTCTAGTGGTGGTTTATTTATATATCAGATCAGATTATAATAAAACAATTTGGATCTCCCATGAAGGTAGAGAACTCTACTAGAATAATCCAGAATCAACATGTTTTTTAATTGTTGCTTTCGATTTCTATTCAACCCTGAATGTATGGTAAGACAAAATGAAGACTAAATATAAAAAATGCAATGTTACTGTACTGTACTCTCTTAATTCCACAATATGTTAACAGTTGACTGCAATTGGGGAGTTGCATTTGGCTCTTAGGAAAATGCAACATTTTTTTTATTTCATTCAATGAACTGAATGTCATATTCAACTTTGAGTGTGTTGCTAGAATAGAGCAACTGACAGCACTAAGAAAATGGCTAAATCCACTTTGACAAGATATTGTCTTTCTTTTTCTTAAATTATATAGATATTAAACTGCCTTCTGTGCACACACTGTGTGTGCATATATGTGCCTACATGTAAATGAATACATAAAATATACAGTTCTCTGTTTTGTGGTAGGACAGTATTATGTGGATGGTGTGTAAGTTATTATACAGTACACTCATTTTCAAAGGAGAAAATGTTCTTAATGACTGTTTATATGCCATTTCAAATATTTAAGCATCGTCTCAGTAGCTGTAATCTCAAAGTCAGGTCTTGAAGTATCACAGGTTAAGAAGTGTTCATGTTTTTTTTACTTTTTACTTATTTTCAGCATGGAAGAAAATAGGTGAGGAAGGTGTTAAAAGAAATGTACCACCAACATACAAACATTTACTATGAGTTCAACTATTATGACACCTTTTACATGTGTAAAATGTATGCTCATTATTACTTAATGATGGTTGGTGGCATTTCAGATTCAGTAGTCATACCTATTTCTAAATATCCCCCAAAAGGCACTTGGTGGCATAAATATCACTGCAGGTTCTTTATGGCCAGATTCAATAAGCATGTATTTGCACCCTGGTAAATCAAGCCCATATTGTCAATAATGGACAACTGTCAATCATTTTTATTTTCAGTTCATCACTATTACCTGAAGCAAAAAGGGACAAACAAATAATGATATTGCTAGTTCTTAACTGTTTGTTTTCAATTGTTTATGTTTTATTTCTTCTTAAATTGAGTTCTGAATCAGTTGCACTTTCACATTTTTTTGTTGTATTTCAGTTGAGTTCTATTGCCCTGGCGTTCCAGAGAAAGATTACGCGCTTTGTTTGTTTGTGAGCATTGCTCTTGATGTCACAGTACAATGTTATTATTTTGAAGTTTGCATGGGTTGATAATCCTATCAAGTTACAATAAATTGAGTTTGACTTGGCCTACTACACATGTCCTGAGGAGGAATTCAAATAAGTGCATATCTGCAAAACAAAGCCAAATTAAGGACACTTGTTGAGAAAAATGCTTTCTTTTATTCAAATACTCTAAAGAACTGTAATCTTGAAAAATTTAATAATTTAACATTTTGTTTAACTTAATAATTGTGTTAATTTATTTATAATTAGTCATATTTCATTCATATACCACACATTGTTTGCTCAGGAAGTTTTGTGAAGAATATTTATTTTACCCTGTTAGTATTTGATGTTTTGTAATGTGAACTGGATTTTTTGTGGAATGATATTAGTATGATGAAACCGTATTGTATTTTTTTCCTTTTTCATTCAAATGTTATGCTTTTTCAGTTCAAGTAGTTTGTAAATCGAAAGTATTACTTTTGCTATTTCATAAGCAGATATGCGCTGTGTTGTACAGTTTGTGTATGGTAGAAATAAAACTTTTTAAATGGTTGTGTGTGATTCTCAGACGTAAAGTAGTACAGTATGTTGGTGTTGTCATATTGGTGCACTGGATCACTTTCCTCCCCATACATCAATGTAGCTTCATGAAGTCAATACCTGAGAATGACAAGTCTGTGCCACCTGGTGGCGAGTAGCAATAAGACAAGACATCTCAGATGAGAAAGTAGGCAAATACAGGTATATAGGCCTATTCGTTGTGCATTGCTGACAATTTGGTTAATTGAAACCCATTCAATCAATTTACAATCCTCATATAATTGTATCAGTATGTTCATTCAGAATGAAGCCAGAGACTAACTAGAGTGAGTGAGCAGGCCTTGCCAAGCAGCTGGGGGGGGGGACTACAACAGTGATAGTTCTCAAAGAGAGAGTACAAGAGCAGAACGCACTACAAATCAACCCATTTGAACTTGTCACCTCATGTTGAGGTTGCTTTCTAGCTAAAACTACATGACATCCAGATACAGTTAGCAGATTAGCAGTTTACATTTCAGCACACCTCATCAGAACCAAGTATAGGCCAGCTACACTCCCCTCCATACGTATTTGGACAGTGAAACCCCCCAAAAAACATTTGTCTCTATACTCCTGAATTTTTATTGATTTGAGTTCAAATGTTTCATATTAGGCGATAGTACAAAATGTCAGCTTTTATTTCAGGGTATTTTCAAACATATCTGTTTTACCGTTTGGAAATGAAAGCACTTTATGTATCTAGTCCGCCCATTTGAGGAAGTCATAAGTATTTGGACCGATTCACTTATAGTTTATTAAAGTAGCCAAAGATTTAGTATTTGGTCCTATATTCCTTGCACGCAATGACTACATCAAGCTTGTGACTACAGACTTGTTGGATGCATTTGCGGTTTGTTTGGTTGTGTTTTGGATTATGTTTTGCCCAATAGGAACGGAATGGTGAATAATGTCTTGTGCCATTTGGAGACACTTTTATTGTAAGTAATAATAAATAGAAGATGTTTCTGAACACTTCTACATTCATGTGGATGCTACCATGATTATGGATAATCATGGATCTATTGTGAATAACGATGAGTGAGAAAGTTACAGAGGTGCAAAGATCATACCTCCCCAAAAATGCTAACCTCCCTTGTTATTGGTAATGGTGAGAGGTTAGCATGTTTTGTTGTAGCCTCTGAACGACATCTCACTCATCATTATTCATGATTAATTCATGATTTTTCTTAATCATGGCATTATCAGCATTCATTTTGAAGTGTTCTGAAACATCTTATCTACTCACTTAGAAAGAAAATCCAGTCATCATTCACCATTCGGTTACTATTGGGCAATACATAACCCAAAACCCAACCAAAACAAACTGCAAATGCATCCAACAAATACATCCAACGAGTGTAGAGTCACAAGTTTGATGTAGTCATTGCGTGCAAGGAATATGGCACCAAATACTAAAATGTGTACTACTTTAATACACTATAAGTGAATTTTTCCAAATACTTCACATTGGGGGGGACTAGATATATAAAGTGCTTTCATTTCTAAATGGTAAAACAGATATGTGTGAAAATACCCTGAACTAAAAGGTGACCCTGTACTGTCGCCTCACATTTACATTTTTACATGTTCCATTTTTGTAATTTAGCAGACCCTCATATCCAGAGGCTAGTTGAGACCCCAACATATCACAGTCGTAGCAAGTACATTTTCCCTCAACAAAGTAGTTATCAACAAAGTCATGCATAAAAATAAAAATAAACTATTTGATATCATATCCCACTGGGCACAGACGTAAATTAAACGTCTATTCCATGTTGGTTCCACGTCATTTCATTGAAATGACGTGGAAACAACGTTGATCCAACCAGTGTGTGCCCAGTGGGATAACACAGTTCATCGCAATTCCAAAATTCTGGAGTACAAAGACAAATTAAGATTTGTAGCTTCACTGTCCAAATACAAAATGGAGGGGAGTATATGTACTGTATGAGCTGCCTCCTAGAGTGGTCAGGACATACTAAAATCCCAAATTCTTCCCATAGGGGATTTTAGAAACACTTAAAATAAGGGCGTCGTTTCGTGTAGGCTTACCCTGGCGTGACCTTTTGATGACCGTGTAAATTTCTGTAGGACAAGGTGACTTTTATCAATATTCCCCCCCTCCAATACTAATTGTGGCTAACATAAAGCACTACAACTATCATAAAAAACTGCATACATGCTGTCTGCCATCTGCCCGGTACAGTTGAAACCAGGATTCATCCTGGAAGAGCACACTTCTCCAGCGTGCAAGTTTCCATCGAAGGTGAGCATTTGCCCACTGGTGAGTACAACGAGCAACCAGATGAGCCGGTTTCTGGAAGTTTGTGCAGACATTCTTCGGTTCTGCAAACCCACAGTTTCATCAGCTGTCCTGGTGGCTCGTCTCAGACCATCCTGCAGGTGAAGAAGCCGGATGTGGAGGTTCTGGGCTGGTGTGGTTACATGTGGTCTGCGGTTTTGAGGCCAGTTGGACGTACTGCCAAATTCTCTAAAATGACGTTGGAGGCGACTTATGGTAGAGAAATTAACATTAAATTATCTGGCAACAGCTCTGGTGGACATTCCTGCAGTCAGCATGCCAATTGCACGCTCCCTCAAAACTTGAGACATCTGTGGCATTGTGTTGTGTGACAAAACTGCACATTTTAGAGTGGCCTTTTATTGACCCCAGCACAAGGTGTACTTGTGTAATAATCATGCTGTTTAATCAGCTTC